TTTTTTCATAGTAACTATATTTTATAGGTCCGCCAAAAACCCCAGAAAATGCAAAATAATTGGTTATTGTTATTGGAAGTCTCCTGAAGAGAACCTAGAGATGAGGGCATAAAAATTCCAACTTTACTTTTTCACATACATTTTTGGCCCACCCTAATGTACATACATATTACATATATGTAAATGTGTTTGGTTGTATCTAATAAATGTGTAGTGATAACTAAAAAGCCTTAAACTACTTAAAATATTCAATAACAACACTTGCGATAACTAGCCAATAACCCGAATGCAGTCGCCACCACTAATCATCTCGTATGACATCTTTGCGCGCCTTAAAATTACGCCACGAACCATTTGTGCAAACGCCAGCACCGCGCCACCAATCATTCACATCTGTGTACCAATGCGGTTTGCGTAGCGAGTCTTCGTCATGTAGCGCAGCACAAACGCGACACCAATAGTAAGTATTGATGAACTCACCCGTACCCTTCCATTTGAAATATGAATTGTACAGTTCATCATCTTTGTCGAGTATGTGCAAGTACTCGGCCAGTTCTTTGGGCGAGGCAAACTCATCGACGTGGATGTAGGAACGATGTGGTGCGCTCACTTCATAATCCTCCGGGCGTGCACCCATTACAATTGGCAAAATGTTGCGTTGCAGTGCATTTACGAAGAACTTTTCGGTGATGTAGTCTTTGCAGTTGGAATTCTCGAAGGCGAGGTAAAATTTGTAGTCATGATCGAGTAGCTCAAAACATTTGTCGGCGGTGTTGCGTGAGCATTTATAGTTGCCGCAAACGCCATAGATGTCGACCTGGGGGAGAAAAGGAAGTGGGGGCAATTGTTGGAATTATTCGGAAATTTCAGAGTTCTAGACGCATATTTATGTTGCCTTCTTGACAAAAACTATAAAAATATAGGTCAGACAAAAACGGTTTGTTTTCCACTCCAAAATTGGGAAGTTTTGATAAAACATAAAATCCTTTTAAATGAACCCACCAAAAGAAGTCGTGTCAGTAAGCGCTTCTACCGACGTCATCACAGAGCACTGTGCTATAGCACCAACGCTCCATCGATGGCGTATACCAACAAGCTCCCTCTGCAAAAAGTCTCGGGATGAGGAAGAAGGGGTATCGATTTACCATTTCCTGTGTCAATGCCCAGCTCTTCGTACAAGACGTCTCGATCACGCTTTTATAATAGTTTGGGGGAGATAGCGTAGTCGAAAATATCGAAGCACCACAGCACTATCCGGTATAGTAAATGGATGAATAGACATCATACAGACAATATGGAATAACTTCGGTTAGAAGGATGTGCCGCCCCCTTTCACTCATAGCGGGCATTCACAATTGCAAAGTCTGCCTCCGAGTGTGAGTACGAGTCATTCGTATGCGTCTTCTAACCTAGCATAACCTAACTTAACCTAAAACAAAAACTCTCCAGTTAATTCTCTATCCCACTCTGGAGGAGTCTAGTCGTCTTCACAGTTGTAAATTAGTACTTAGTACGCTGCGCCCATTTCGCTGCTGTTAATTAATCCTTGTCTATCGCAAATAGATATCAATTTCGGTCTATGCCTCAATGCAATATTTCCATATGGCATTTTTGTCCTGCCGAAACCGAATGTAAATCTTGGTTCGGAAGTGCCGAAACGACTTACTGCTATACATAAACAAAAGCGTCAGCGTTGTCTGGCTGTAAAAAAATTATCATGTCCATACAATTTGTATGAAGCATACCGAAATAACGCGGCGCTAACGGAAGCGAACTAAACTTGTGTTTATTGTTGGTATTATTTCTGCATTTGACGTAATGTTGATGCTTTTGTTTAGGTATGGAACTTCGACGTTAACGCTAGGCGTCAGAAAACGCTCCGACCAACGCTTTTGTTAAGGTATGGTAGTTAGTCTAACTCATGCGGGCTTTGTTGTGATGTATATCTATCTATCTTTCGGTTTCGTATTTTGTGTTATCCTGATCGCCTCCATGTGTTTCTATGGACTCCTAACTGGTCCTAAATTCCACCCATCTCGTTTCTGCTTTCTATTAGACGAAATTTCCATTCCGCGGAGTAAAGATTTCTATTCCCAACGTTTAGTGCCGCTTTCTCAGCCGAGAGTTTACTCACATTAGGAAGTGAAAAATAGATTTTTAGTATAAACGAAAAACTGTTAGCGCACTGTTGAGAATGATGTAACCCTCTACTGAGTACAAATGCGCCTCTTTAAAACTATCAACCCTCATTTGGAAGTAACTGTTGAGTTTATCAAGGGATTTTCCGATTTATGCATATCTATGAAGAGCCGAATTGTTTAGTATACTCACATCAATATATTTTTGCAGCTCATGCGCGAATTGCAAACGTCCATTGCGTGCGCCACAATTCGAAACAAACCAGGCAACTTTTCTTGTTTTATTCAAAGCATAGTTATGATCCTGCTCGGCTTGATGGATTTTCGAATCGTAGTAAACCCATTTTTCATAGGGCGCTACAATGTCGCTGTCACGCCTGCGAAAAATTTCAAGTATTAAGAAATTACATCAGGAAATAACTGTTAGAAAGTACACCAGCTCTACCTGTAGGTGGCCGTCCAATTTATAGCATCTGGTACTTTAACGTTTTGTGTATGATATGGACATTCCAGATAGTACAACATGCTAACTTGCCTCGGATTCAATGGTCTGCCTAGGCCTGTCGGTATGAAATGATCCTTATACAATATCATATCGGCCTTGTCAGCATAACCGCGATTCGATGTCAATTCGCAAGTGTCCACAGGGCATTTCGAGCGGAGGAAGACATCACGACCTAAGGTAATGTATAAGGAATAAACTTACAATAACTGAGCGCAGTAAAAATTAAGCCCCCATTATACGCACCTTGCTTCACATTCCATGGACCTAATCCATTGTAGAGCAGTATAACTTTCAGTCGGCCGCTAGCGCGCACTTTCTCATAGTTCGGCGGCACATACATCAACTGATTGACGATGCGATCACTGTGCGGATCTTGGTAGGGAAAGAGGCGTGCGCCGCGCGGATTATGCTTCTTGCCACGTCCCGTTCCGCCTGCGCCTCCTCCGCCGCGTTTGCCATGCGCCTCACGCGTAGGCCCAGTTCGCGCCGGCTTTGGATAGTACTCACCTTGACGGAAGAACCAAGGCCGCGTTGAGGTGGGTTCCAGTGGCACCTGCCCTGGATGTAATTGCAGCTGTTGCTGCTCGCTTTGCTCGCCGCTATTTATGTTTTCGCCCCCGCCCAGCGTATTACTGGTGCTGATTATATTTGCATGTCTGCGCGCAGCTGCGCTGTCGTCGTTATCGGTGTCCTCGCCGCCACCGCCATCGCCAATACCCTCTGCCCGTCGCGCTGCTGCGTGCTTACCCGGCTCCAAACTATTGGAGGATGAATGCGTGTAGTATTGTAACGGTTGTTTTGCTTGCTCCTCCGGCGAGCGTGCTTGTGTTTGCTGCGGCGCGCTTTTCGATTTCCAGATTTCATGTTCTCTGCAAAGCGTCGGGAAGTGGATTGTATAATCGCTGACGTGGGCTGATAAGCGCAAAATCCAACTTACCGTAAATTAAAGCCGAATATTAACAGCAGTGCACAAATGAGCGTAAAATAAAAATATTTCTTTAGTGAAAATTTCGGGCGACGCATAGTTTTCTAATCGCTGTGTTCTGGGATTCTCCTCTAACTCGTTGTAGAACCGTTATGGAAGGCACTTCTTAACCGCCGCCTTTCCGCCTCAACGACATTTACAGAATGGTTTTCATTTCACTGCAAGAACATAAAAGACAAAAAACACAAAATTAATTAACAAAAAAGCTTGTATTCCACCGAAGTATTGAACTGTGGTAGCTAATTTTTGAGTGTAAAAAAGTATGGTATGACAGTTTCTAATTTGTTCCACAATTGAGTGTTAGTTTTTTGTTTTAACAAGTGTTTTTGAGTTTAGTGTTTTTCGTTTTGCATCATTAACACAATTCTAGCAGGTTATATGTATGTTTGCATTGTACTAGGACTGGGACTATCCGTATATTCGGATATCCGTTAAGATTTTCGTGTATACGGATAAAATCCGTGTATACGGTTAGTGTCTGTTCTCTTGTGTTTTGCTATCCGGATATCCGGTCAATATCCGTTAGTTTTGCTGTCCGGATATCCGGTTAATATTCGTATACCGTAATTCGGTTATCCGGTTAATATCCATTCTCTTTTTTATCTGGACATCAGGTCAATATCCGTTTATGATCAATCGATTTTGTTAAGATTTTTTTAATCAGATATTCGAATATTCGGATTATACGAATATTCTAAAAATTCTCCCTGCCTTCATACGCCCAAGTATAGTCATACATATGTTTGTTTAAAAATACCATTTGTCGCTTATGCGGTAATGTTAAATGTACATATATTGCGGTAAATGGTCGATCTTATCAAACTCTTTTTGCCACATGGCTGGGCTAATTGCTCATTGCTGTGTGGTAAAATAAGAGCATGTTATATTTTCATAAATATTACCCATACATAGCGCTCGCATCTTTTTTCGGACAAAAAACTGTATATTATTTACTGTGAAAAAATCTCCTTTCGCAGTACCTCAATTTAAAAATAAAAGCATTTTTTCCTGATATTATGTTAACCGTTGTACACCCCGAGGCAAAATTATATGCCTAACAAAAGCCATGTAAATCGAAATTTCTCCCTTTGTACATAAATTAGAAAAATTCAAAAAAGTTGCACGACAACAATATTCTAGTTTGAAAAGTTGCTAGGGGTATTCAGGCGAATTCTTAGCCCATTGAAACTTACACCTTATTACACGGTTAAAAATTTCGGCTTTAATTTTAAAATTTTTGGGCTACATATATGACCAAACTAAATTCAGTTTCAAATACAAACTTTCCAAGTTTAAAAAAGGATCGGTATGCGCCTTATTAAGAATTGAATTTAATAAATCAATATGAATTGCAAAATATTAAGACATAGCAATAAAGGAGCAGATCCGCATGAATTTCAATCATATGTACCATCAGCTTATAAATACTTATATATATGCCATTACGTGTATCATTATTTTAATTCATTTTTATTTCCATTCATACTGCAGAAATTTGTATTACTTTTTATATAAGCCTAGGTCCCCGTATTAGTATTCTTCTTCGAGTTCATGCTCGTCTTCGTATTATCTTCGTCTACGGATTTGTGCATAAGTTAGCTAAGACTTTTGAAACAGCTGGCAACGCTCCTAAATACAGTTCAGAAAAAAAGCCTTTTTAAACCCATTTCATTTGATACACATATTTTTAATAATTGCTTTAACTTATTAAATAATTTGTGTTTACGTTTTTACCAGGTGGCAACCCTCTTTAATAATATAAATATTCAAACTAAAGATATCTTACCACCTTCGTTTCCCGTAATATTTTAATATTTCATTTAACGCATGCATACTTTATTTAAAAATTCTAATTTTGAAACTTGTGTCAACCCTATTCAAAATATTTTAAAACCACAACCTCTTTCGTCTGACATCCATATCAGGATATACATTTCAATTTTCTGCCTTTATTTAAGTCAAACTTGCTTTTTGAAACAGGTGGCACCCTCCTACATATGTGTAATTAAGAAATAAAGTCTTTTCAAAACCATTTCGATCGATACTCATAGTGTAATAATTGATTAGCTTAAAAATAATTTGAATTTAATTTTTTTATCATTTTATTATTTTTTGTTTATTTTTTTTATTTTAACCCAGCTAGCTGCTTTTAATTCTGTAATTGGAAACTATTGAAGATAGATTAATGAAATTTTGCACAAGGTACGTTATAAGATAGGAGAAGCTTTTTACAAAAAGTTGGTCATTTAGAGTTACTGTCACGCCCTATTATATAACTGCAATTTTTAAAACGACAAAAACTGAAAACTACAGAGGCTAAAATGCCCAAAATTGATATTTATAATTTCCTTATAACAAGGAATTATAAACTGACAGAAATGGACTTAAAAATAAATATATATATTTTTTTTTTGAAGTATAGGCATGGAAAATATCGATAAAAAGTCAAGTTGGGTCAACAAAACTCCATTATAAGTGCAATATTTCTTGCTCTATTTACAAAATTGGCATATCAGTGGAAAGGTCAGGCTTTCTCTAATACAAAGCGAAAATACAAGAATTTGTCTCGGTTGAGATAAAATGCAAATGAATTACTCGAAGAAAATAAAATTCCTAGTAGGCCTGAAAAAATAACATTTCATCAAAACCTGCACTTTCCAGCAGCTAAAATTGTATTGTTTAAAGTCTAAGAGGAGTGGCAAATAAACTGTGATATAAACTTTATCCAATAGAGGCGGATAACGAGTTTGCGTGTCTAATGAAATTAATAAATTGCTGAAACGAAATTTTAGTTAACATCGTTTTACTTCTCAGTCCTAGTTTACTAAAATCCCAAAAATGTATATTCATTAAAAAGAACATACCAAAAAAATAAATAAGACCAAAACGGTATTTTAGCAATTGTTGCATAAATCACATAGCACCGACAAATTAAACACTGAGATTTAGTTTCAAATATACAATTTTAAATATTATTGTGCTTGGTAATTTTCCAAATCAGACCCAGTCCCGCCCTACACTTTGATTCAAATTTTTTAGTTGTTATTGTTTCGTCTTTATCAGGCATTTCTAAAAACATGTTTGACGTTATTTTGAAATTTGGCGATATACAAATAATGTAATTAATAATCTCTAGAATATGGAAATAAAACACTGTGCCACAGTAGACAATGCCAATGTTGTCGAGTCGAATAATTTAGCCTAATTTACGATCTACGCAGAGGCTGATTGATACGGCCCTGCAAAAATTTGAGGGCCAGGTGGTCCACTGGGTTGTAGTTTTAAAGTATGTGCAAAAGGACCAGGTTGCATACTAGTAACTTATTATGCTGACCTGGACCACTTCAAAAGTAAAGAACTGATATATGTGTTAAACACCACCTCTTCGTGGCCCATCGGCAATATGATTCGGTAACCGAATGTGCCATGGTCCAAAAGAAGTAGTTGTCTAAGTGGTCCCATGTTATGCAGCGTTGGACCAGAGGTGGTCAGGTCCAATGACATCTCAATGTTAATGTAACCATATTTTCTCCATATATTTGGACCATTTTGGTTACTAGTGTTGGTGACAAGGTAGCGTGGTCCTGTACTAGTATTTAACATAGTCCCACCTTTTGCAGGGGTGTGTTACGCATACACTAATATTCTTTCACACAAGTACGTGTATGTATGAATGTCTATATGTACGTATGTTAAATCCTCTGAAAACGGTTAGTCAAAGCTCAACCCATTGCGCCTGGACGCTTAATACTCCACGCCGAATAAATCAGCTTTCGTAATTGCCGTACTAATAATATTTGCGAAGATTTTTTAGTCCATGGTTAATAAAGAGTCGAAAGTCAGTAGTTATCAACGATAGCCAATAATAAATCGTCAGCGGTCAATAATTAATTAATAGTCTGTTTGTTAATAAACAACAACAGCCAATAGCAGTAGTCCTTCTTTAAGATTCAATATGTAGCCAATAGCCAATAGCCAATAGTCAATAGTCAAAAGACAAAAGGCAACAATCAATATTCAACCGCCAATGGACAATATAGCTAAAAGTCAATAGTTAGTCAAAAGTCGATAGTTAATAATCTGCATTACTTGCTTATAAATTTTCATAAGTCAATAAATAGTCTTTCGTCATTAGTGAATAGACAAAAGTCAACATATCATAACTTAAAATCAAAAGTCAGTAAATAACTAAGGTTTTAGTAACATGGGGCGCTTTCGAACTCGATATTACATAGTAGAGATGCGTATGTGACTCACGACGTCGCTCACGCACACGCGTAGACTGTGGACGGTTTAATGGGGACCAGTAACCGATCATAACACTGGTCTACAAATTTCAACTTTTTTTCTGCGAATAAGACGGGACCTGGTGTTTCTGAACGGATTTTTCGTGCTGAACACGAATCCGGGGTCAAAAATGTCCCATCACGTCACGTTTTCGAGAAAAAAGGGGTTGAAACCCCTAAAAACAGCGTTTTTGGCCATTTTCGAAAAATTATAGAGCTGAACCCTGACGTGGTACAAATTTTGCATATATCAGAAATTAAAGGCTAAACCGTGCCCTTTCGAATGAGCCCTATGCCGAATTGATCGCGTGCAACCTTAAAGCAGGGGGTGTATTTGTGTTTAGGGGTGCAGGAAAAATTGATCACAGAAAGAATTTAATCTTAAACGATCATAGAAAATTAATAATGCCAAGGTTTTAACTATATTAAAAGTCGCTGATTACGAATCTGCAGTTAGATTTTAAAAATTTAAGATGACGGGTCGAATATGGTGGATATAAAAATTGGACTCCTAGACACAAATACACCCCCTGATCTAAGGGTGCATGCGATTAATTCGGCATAGGGCTCATTCGAAAGGGCACGATTTAGCCTTTAATTTCTGACATATACAAAGTTTGTAGCACGTCAGGGTTCAGCTCTACAATTTTTCAAAAATGGCCAAAAACGCTGTTTTTAGGGGTTTCAACCCCTTTTTTCTCGAAAACGTGACGTGATGGGAAGTTTTGGACCCCAGATTCGTGTTCAGCACGAAAAATCCGTTCGGAAACACCAGGTCCCGTCTTATTCGCAAAACCCTTGTAGACCAGTGTAATCGTCTCATACGCAATGAGTGGGAAGCACAATACCCTACTTATCTTGAGGACGATGCA